CCTGTAACTCAGGGAGGAAGAAATCTAAGTACTGGAGTCTATCACCGTAAGCTTCATTATTCAACACTATCACCCATTTCATTGCTTGTCTCTGCACTCGATCCAAGAGATGTCTCTTTTAAGCCGAGGGGCTGCGACGACGTTATGAACCTGCAAATGTGGGAGCGCGTATGTCTTAAATAAGGTTTTTTAAACAGAGGTTGCGCTCTGAGTAGACGTTCGGGAGCAGACTTCCATTAAGGTGTAAATCGTTTGCGAGGCCGAATGAATATGACATTTCGGCTGGTCTAGTTTTAAACCGTTTTTCTCTGCCATTCCTCAATGAATGTAAGGTCCTTTTGAGGCTCAATCAAATCCTCTTCGCTTCTAGTGGGCCTCCACAACTTGGTGGATTTACTGGGCGTATGGATCTTAGTTTTCTTAGTACTAAGTCAGGAGCAATACGGATATTCCCTTAGCTGTCAGCTCGCACTGGATTTGCGTAGTACTCGGAACATGTGGTTACCTGATTTCACTGATTGTTGGAGTTTTTGTTCAAGATCTCAGTCATCTCTAGGTTGATGAGGTCTCCCCATTTTGGATCCTTGAGAGAACACAAATCCTGATTCGTAGGTTTTCTTTTTGTCATGAACCTAACCAAATGCTTAGGGTTTGCCCATATTAAGACGGCTAGCTTCGTCTGAAAGCGTCTCCTGTCACTTTGGTATTTCATCTGTTTCTCAATTCCAAGTAAGAACTGCGATCTGAATCCTTTAAGATGACCTTCCATTTGTGACAGGCTCTCCTCTTACCCTGTATCAAGCGTTCGGCGCCGCGTCTAACTCATGTTCTTCTATTTCCGGGTGTGTGGTGTGACTGAGGTACATTGTCTACGACAACATTATGGATAATGTCTCTCTCTGCTTTCTAGTGATCATATAGTGTCAGCCTACGCTATTCCCACGGCCATGGGGCTTGTAGGAGGACCTCTCTCATACGCGTATAGTTTGCCCTAGTGTAGCAAAGATAGGGCTTGCTATCCTCCTGTGTGAGTGTTTCGTTTATGACCATGTTGAACAAGACTGTGCCATGGACACTACTTTTTATTGGTGTATGGATGTGAACATCCTCAACCAGGAGCTCCTCAGAAAAGAAATAATCCAGGTTTGAGGGCTTCCCCTCCTTAGTCCATCTAGTAGCACTGCATACGTGCTCAGTAAGCCAAGAGCTTCTAACGGCTGCGCTAAGTCATCTTTGGAACCAACTAGTGGGGTTTATTACCTGACTGCTGAGATTTAGAGATTGTGTATTGAAATCTCCAGCTAAGAATATTTGATCAGACCCCCGGAGTGGCAGTTGCAGTATTACCTCAGTCAATTTGCTTTTCTGGGCCTTAGTACCCGAAAGAAGGTTGGTAGATCCCTCCAGTCAAGTATTTCATGCAGTTTGTGCGGAAACAACAACAACATGATCCTGTCACCTCAGTTAGTTGGGTGTCGTATAGCCGCTCGGATTTTAAGTGACTGTTTATATATATAGCCACTCCGACTGCTGTTTAGTGTATGATATCGATTCAGAGAAGTTTCATGCCTTGTAAGCTCACTTCGTCGTCTGCAATGTCAGGGGATAGCCATGTTTCAGTCAGGATTATGATCTTTAGATCCATGTGAGAGCACATGTTCCTGATTTCTAACCGCTTACCCCTCAGTCCTCTTACGTTGCTACAGAGGTACTTGGTGGTTTTTCTTATCCCCTGATGCACCTCTGCAGCAACAGTCTTTGTGGGATTCTCAAACAAGTTGTTCAAATCGAGTGAGCCAGTTCTGTGGTAACTGGCCTCTGCAGGTTTTTGCCTGCACAGTCGACGAGGCTGTTATCTACGTGTCTGGTACCAGGGGTTGTTGATAGTCGACAACTTTCAATTGTGTGCTTCTATTATGGCCTCCCTACTGTCGTTTCAAAGATCTAGTTCGGTTTTCACAACACCTAATGTGGCTAGACAGATCGCCCTTCGGACTGTACCAAGCTTGGAGTGCCTCAGTCAGGTCTTCGCGAATCCTAAATGTCACGGCCATCAGACGTGATGACTTAATGGACGTGAGATGTGACGGGCGAGGCAGACTAGGAATGCAAATGACAATAGTGGTTTGAAGGCCCAGGCTACATGATATCCACCACCACTGTTGCACACCATGTACGTGAGCTTCGTCAAAGATACCTCCATCCGGTCAGGGCACACCGTAAACAACAACACTGGTCTGCTCCTGGGTTCTGGCAATATCCTGGCTGCCGCTCGTACTGATCATGGTTTTTTGTGCTTGATACAGATCGAGGAGGAGTATGATTAAAGGAGAATGCTTTCGGCAAGTTGTGTTGAGTTTAGTTTTATCCTCATTGCAGGGGTTTTCCCTTTTGAGACGTTCTGTCTTTTGAAAAGCTGGAATATTTCTGTCGGTCACTGCACCACCATCAGAACACAATCAGAAGCACAATTTCACTGAGAAAATGGCTATCTGCCATATCTGGAAATTTGTACGATTTAATTTGTCCTACAGATATAATTTTAAGAACGTAAACGCAAATACCGCCGATGACAGAATCCAGAGTGAAACTATAGTTAACGGAAGACAAGTTGGTTTTAAACTTTATCTGTTTCTAAACAAAAATAAACGAATAAATTAGTACAATAAATGAGGAAATTACAATTATCAAGTAAGATGAGCAAACGTACCGGACAGTATAGCGTGTCTTTAGAAAATGAATAAAAAATATGAATCACATCTATATAAAATAAAATAATAACATCCCTCATTCGATAGTTCATTCACAACAAAGAAAGTTTATAGACCAGTCAGACTAGAAAACGTGGTGAGCGCTTAACCACTCTGATTGGTTAGTTATGACATAACTACAATTAGTTATAAAATAACTAACAAATTATAATCCGAAGAATGAGCAACCTGACGGCAGGGATTCTTTATTTGACCTTTTAATTCACAGCAGAATAATGAAGTGGGTGATTTTAATTTTAAGTCTGACCGTTGTGTAACTAACCCTAATTTTGTGAATTGTTTGGAATTTCATGCAGGTAGTTCCAATATTTATTCTGATGTTTCTCTTGTTAATAATGAATATTTAGATAGGTGGATGTGGAAATGGTGATAATGAACAATTAAGACCTGCCCGAAAAATCGAAGACTACGTTCAGCCACCTAGGTGGATATCCACCACATGACGAGTGTGGTGAATAGTAAATAAGTTTATTGTTCAACTAAATATTTTGTGTTTTTCTTTATGTCGGTGATAGTTATACGATTTGAATTCTATACTGTTTACTTGAGATCCGAGTTTATTTTTGTCTCTTGAGAATCCCAGATATGTTAGATTTATTTGTATTCCGTCAGATCATTCCAAATCCACAAGTAGATATAACAGATATTAGAAGATTCTGATTCACATGCGGTTGATTGGGTAGAGATGCTAACCATAAGACATGAAAATCCTTTGAATAGAAAGCTCATAATGATTTTAATGGGGCAAGCAACATATTTAAATTTGGAGAATTGTTTTCTTTCTTAGACTTGGTAATCACTCATGACAGTGAAGATATTTCCTGTTTAAATATTCCTCCGCATCAGCAAACAGCTATCTCGACATTCACATTTAGGGATTATAACTGTGTACGATCAGATTCGGCCTCGTCAAATTGTGCAGCGATCAAACTTTACTACCCGTCAGGTGTGACGAACAACGGAGAGGTCAGTAAACTTTAGCTTACCAATTGAAGAGGCATGGTCTACAGATAAGTTATCTTGAGCTTAGTGACATCCCTGTTCATATTGAGCAAAGTGCCTTGTAGACCTAATAACTACTGACTGCTAATTAAAAAGCTGAGGAAACCCTGAAGTTACAGAAAATGTCGGCGGAGAATGTTTACCTTAGTAAGTTTTGAACGGTAAAGACCCATTATTTGTAAGACTCAAGATGCATGTAGGCAGCTGTTCAGGAATCTTCATGAAAAACGATTGGCCAAGAATCATAATGTTGGTCCCATCTGTAAAGATTCAAACTCAGAGGCGTGATGGGATAATTGCCATTTCTGGTTGAAGAATATCCGTTGGTGATGGAAGAGTAAAAGCTTTATCATAATATCTTAATAGTGGTTTAAACTGATGATGATGAAAGACCATTCATTATTCACAATGATGGTGGTATTTTGATGAATCTGGTGGTGATCAAGAAAGAAGCCGGCTAAGGATCACTTCAACAACTGGAACTAGATAATTTTAGTAGAACAGAAGAGAGATGGGAGAAGCAGTTACCGAATATCTAGCAATACTGAATGACAGGTCTCGGAGGTAGTCTAAACTGCCTAGTGACTGGGAAGTTGCCATTACCAAAGATGTTTGAAAGCGAAAGGTTGTGAATCAGCAAGTACGATCTGTCTTAGACTGATCAGCGTCGTTGTCAAAAGAATGAAGATGATACTGATGGCTTTTCCAAATAATGTGAAGACGAATAACATTTAAGCTCGAGAGTAATATGACTTTCAGGAATGGCCTTTTATACTAAAAATATTCCCTAATTGTAAGAAAAGATCAGGCAGCAGTTAGGGACAGCAATATTCATGTAGATGTAACTTCAATAGATCTAAGCAATGCTTACAATGAGGTCTCACCCTGCTCTCCAATTGAAGTCGTGGATGTTTTGGAATAGATTGTATAAACAAAAACTGGACAAGTGACTTTCTCGGTGAAAGGAGATGTCGAATAAGAGCCAAAGGTGCCTTATAAAAATGTGAATCAATAATAATCGAAGTTCATTAAGTTTAAATCGATCTTCTTTTGTTATTACTTCGGATAAATAACTCATGGACTTCAGCAAAGTCATTAGTTCTACCCTTCGCTGACGAATATCTCTAGAGACATACAATATAATTCAGATGAGATGCTTAAAAAAGGGGTAAGTTCCCTGGACCGATGGTGACGGAACTATGAGTACCTTTAAGGCTGCCACAACGAATGTCGATTGTTCTCCGCTCATCACCACTAAAATATTTTCAAGGCCTCCAACAAAGATTTGTTCAAATCTCAAGGTCAGCGTGTCAAACGCTTGAATCTGTAGAGGTTGGTTACTGCTTAATGTCTTTTTGAACATTTGGTTCAGCTGTTGTTTCGAGAGTCTAGTAAAGTAGTGATTTTAAAAATTCCACAAATTTCGGGTTCATTAATCATAGGAACCCCTCAACACACTAAGTATGAATTTTCCGAAGAACTGAATTGTAGCGTGTTTGCATATTAAGCTGTTAGTAACGCACACAAGAAACTGTGATTTAACTGCAGTTGCCTTCGCTCGGGAGCTCAAGCTCACAGATATGATTCAAATGTACTCATATGAGTTTATGTTAACCACTTCAGTTTTACTTGCTGACTAATGGTCAATCCTTTTATGCTCTAATTGAAATAGGGAGTTTTAGTATTATTTCTGAAGCATTCCTTGGTTCAAAGGACGGCCTACAGAGTTGTTCACCATCGAAAAATCTGGTCGTAGCGTGTAATGTAAAGGGGTTCTCAGAAATACCATAATCTTTAATTTCATCGTCTGATAACTCCTTTTTTTATATGTGTGTCCACTAAAAAGTATAAACCAATTGGTGAGCTTGGATACGACATAATTACTAGGATAACATTGAGACCTGTCTTAAATCATAGGCTTAGTTCTTTTAATTCAAACACTATGGTGGCTGCTTTTAGTCTCTGTTTTAAAATAAAGTTGTTTGATTCACTTAATGATAGGAAGATGTAGACACATTCTTCAGTCGAACTAAAGTGAGGTCATTGTATTGACTGATTTCATTTTCAGTTTGGAAAGGACAGGTGGCTGAGTGGTCCATGTTGGTTCGAGCACTTTTGATCTGTCAGCTGATCCAGGTTCCCCTTGAATGCGTCGATAAACAGAGCTTCAATGACGCGTTGAGATAACGAGTCCTACCTGTCGACAATTAAATGGGAGTCAGTAGTCAGCCAATTAGTAATTTGATTTCTAGGCTTAGCTGTTTTAGAGTATCCTGGTTAATTCATTGTTTTGCACGGCCAAAAATGAGGTCATGTCAGATGCAGATTTATCGTTTAGTAATCTAAAAACTGTGATTAAGTCACTTCTGGTCCTTCAATATTATAAAGGAAATACGTTTATATCTCGTTTTATGGCAGCTTTGAGAATCCAGGAATCATCCTACTTCCAGTCTTTTTAGCCGTTTCCAACACCTCAAATATACTTCTTAGGCAGGGGCTAGCTGACTATATGCAATACTGAAATTTAGGACGAACCAATGCAGTATACAAAGTGAGAAATGTCTTAGCATTGACATGGCTAAAGGCCCTAGGCCATAAGGTTCTAAAATCTTTGGCGGCTAATGCATGGCAACGTGCAATAGTTTTCGAGCCTTGAGTAATGATTACTTCTAGGTTATTATGTGTCTGGATAACAGGTAGTTCATTGTTACTCACTATGTACGCATCTGCACCTTGATGATCAATATGCATCCCGACCGCAGCTGCTACCTTGACGTGGTGGTCGGGCTTGCCTATCGTGATGAACCAGCTGAGCCATATTGGCTGAAACTTATGTTCCTGAAGGTTCTACCATGCCAGTCAGGCCGATTGGAGAACGATAAGACTGAAGGCAGCTACTCAAGGTTTGAGGTCGAAGTCGTACTGCTAACTGCAGAGGGGTGTGACAGCAGTAAGGTGTTTCCCTTGGACAACCAGCATCTGCAGCGATGCTGCCTTCTCACAAGGAAGGAAGGGTTAGAAAAGGTCGACCCTAAAAGTTTCACACCTCACCCTACCTCCCGGATTTCAGTCTCCATCGGTGAGGGTGCCCACTAAGGGCTTTCAAGAGAGGAGCTAAAACTCAAAAAACATTTCATAAAAAGGCCGTGCGTGACCGGCCTCAAGCAGTTGTCCCCTGGGCTCTGCGGTCACGCACCTAGGTCTCTAAGACCAACACTGATCTACCTTCCTTTTCAGGTTGCTCAAGAAACAACCTACCACGGTGTGGGCAACCGGGAAGTGACAACCGCCCTCATACCCGTAACAGCACACGAGACCGAAATGGTCACAATCAAATCGTTTCTACACCTCTTAAGAACTCTCTTATCTCCTCGACTAACCCTTCTTTCGATATTTTATCACCTCACGCCTTCCAAGTAAACGGTATGAGCTCACGTAACATTATTCCTGGTCTCTTGAAACCCTGTACAAAATTGCATATAGGAGCTTTTAATATTCGAACTCTATGCCAAGCAGGGCAACAGGCTTCACTAACAAGAACTCTGGAGTCACGGGCGATCGATGTATGTTACCTCTCTAAAACGCGCATACAAGATCCGAGTAAAATAATCAATTTGATCTCACCTAGTGCAGATAGAGACACAACATTGTTTACGCTTCGTGTTTCTGGAAACCCTGAAACCCCGTGGCCTTTCCGGCTCAAGTATTGTATTAAGTCTTTGGGCGGAACCAGCTTTCTTAGACTGGATCCCGATAGACAGTCGCTTATGCTCTGTCCGACCTAACGGAACGGTACGGACTCGGAAGGATAGGGACACTCGCCGTCGCCTCTTCGTCATATCTGTCTACGCTCCCACTGACTGCAGTTCAGACGAGGTGAAAGGTAAGTTTTATGGAAACCTCTCTAAACTTCTCCAAAATGTTAAGCGCTCTGATATACTAATAATGGCTGGTGACTTTAACGCTCAAGTAGGTAGACTCAGCGAAAAGGAAAGACACATGAGTGGATCTTATGGTGTCGCGGCTAATAGAACAGATAATGACAACCGTCTACTGCAGCTTTGCTCAGATAACCGCCTATCATCAATCAATCAATAGCGACGTAGAACTTCGTACGTACGTACATCAGTTCATGTTGCCATACCACATTAGCACAGAGATGTATTTGTCAATTCAAATCCATTAGTCGTAGAGGTAGTAAAGGTATTAGAGGTAGTCGGAGAGATTAGGATTAGAAGATTTTGTTCAAGAAGTTTGAACTCAGACCATGCTCTAGTGCAGGCTCGTATTTGTTCGCGCCTTACTGGACGCAAGAAAACTATTGCGGGGAAACCTCTTAGGATGTATAGACCACATCTTCACACTACGACAGGTCTTAGAACACAGACACATATTTAGGCGTCTTACAATAGTTACCTTCATGGACTTTAAGGCGGCATTTGACTATGTGGGTTGTGAGGTTCTATGGCAGTGTCTGTCATCGAAAGGTGTACCAAAGAAGTACATTAACCTTGTACAAGCTCTCTACTGGAACACTACAGGTCGAGTGAGAGCTTATGGCGAACTGTTACCGGAATTCTTTACTTCGATTGGTGTCCGTCAGGGATGTCTACTCTCCTCATTCTTGTCTAATTTTGTCATAGACATGCTCCTAGATATAACCTTATCCTCGTCTGAATTTTTAGTAGTGAACTTTCTACCAGGAATATCGCTTGCTGACTTAGAATATGCTGATGACATCGTCCTATTTGGTGAAGACGCTGACAAAATACAGAGTCTTCTGTCCACCCTAAGCAACAATGCAAGCATGTTCGGGATGCGGTTCTCACCCTCGAAATGGAAAATGAAGCCTCAAGACTGGGTTGCCTCGGCACCTGAACTAGTGATAGGTAGTAAAGCAGTTGAGCATGTTGACCGCTTCACTTACCTGGGTAGTCTCATCAGTGCCGATGGCCTGGTGACTGACTGCATTTCAGCACGGACACAGAAGGCTCGATTGGCTTTTGCCAACCTGTGTCACTTTAGGCATATGCACGATATCCGTTCGCTAACCAAAGGACGAGTATACTGCACAGTAGTTCGCTCCGTCCTACTTTATGGCTGTGAAACACGGCCAGTCAGAGTAGAAGATATTGATAGGTTGCTTGTTTTCGATCATAGGTCTGTTCGAAGCATTCCTCGAGTATCGTGGGACAACCGAGTAAGCAATGCTGTTATTATGAAACGGGTGCCAGGTAAGGATGGCAGGTCAATAGATGAAGTAATGAAACTTTATCAGTTGAGGTGGTTGGGACATGTGTTGCATATGCCTAACCACCGACTGCCTCGTCGAGCTGTTTTGCGATATAGGAATAGGGTGGACGAAAGCTAGGGGTGGCCAAACCAAAACATGTCAGAAATGCATGAAGTCACTGACAAGTAGACTGAGTCATGTCGGTAGTTGTCGACTACCTGATTGAGGTCCGCGAGGTGTTAGTAATCGATGATTAGAGACTCTGAATGACATGGCTCAAAACCGTTTGGAATGGCGCAAGTGCATTCATTCTTTGTGTTATCTCAAATCCTGAACTTTTTAATTCTTCATCACTTTATCTTAATCTTTTTAAGTCTATTTCACTAGATCCTACTTCTTGATTAATATCTTCTAATCCTAACCTTCTCCTTGAATAAAAATGAGGCAGATTTTCAAGACCTATTTATCTCCTACCTAAAGTCTTCCTTTGTTCTTTATACTGATAAGCACTGGAGTGGCACTGTTGACACTGGTTGTTTTAATGGGGAATATAGTAAATTAGGTCAATCGACCATTTGATGCTTTTACATTCTCTTTGTCTTCCCATGCTCTTCGAGTAGTATTTTTTTTAAAATCAGCAGTTAGATGAACGTTTATTACCGAGATTTTTCATACATTACCTTTATGCATGTCAAGAATTCAATTTACAGTGCCAAAAGTAGAATTTGGGTATAACATGACATGAAATGACATTAACTTACTTTCCTCCTAAAAAAATTATAGGACTAGTGTTTTGCTTGATTTCCAGATGAGTTTATTTGGATCCCCAAAGTTGTTTGGATTTTCGCAACCGACTACAAGCGCTACTAGTGTAGCTCCAACTCTTGGCTTTGGATTACAGCCATCAGTTGCCAATACAACGACACCATTCGGAGGTTTTGGTTTTGGATCTACTGCCTCAACTTCAAGTTCTGGATTGTTTCAAGTGCCAACAACAAATGCAACCAATTCAACCTTTCCTGGATTTGGACAAAATCCAACTCCTTTTCAAGGTTTTAACTTAAACACTCCAAAAACAACCTCTGGGTTGTTCGGTTCTACATTTTCTGCTCCTGCTGCTAGTACTCAGCAAAGTTTAAATTTATTTGGATCTCAGTTAGGCCAACAAGCATCTCAAAATACTGGATTTAGCTTCACACAGCCGACTCAAAGTTTGTTCAACATACCAAAAAGTAAGCTTCTCTATCGTTATATTCAAATCGACTTTTGCGATTAATTTTACTTCTAATTTTTATTTTATGTTAGAGGTCTAAGCCGTTTTAAGGTAGATCTTGCTTAGTTCTCAATGTTTAGCGTACAATACGCAATATACATGTGCTGCTCGTATTAAACACTATCACATGAAGTTTTTCTGTGAAGTTTGTTTAATAATTACCTATTTTGTTAGGTAGGTGAGCTTACGTTAGTTCCAGAATCTCAAAAGGCACATTCAAAGCTTTATTTATGTTAGCTTACTCGTAATAAAGAAAGTTAATATCCTGGTTTTAATCAGCAAAAATATTTACTGTTGTGTTAAATGTCTTAATACTTAGCCATAATTTCTACATCGTTAAACAACAGTAGGAATGAATACAAATCCACTCCTATTAATAAATAGTTGATAACGTGATGGTGAGATATACATAATATATCAGCACTTCATACTGAGATTTGAATTCTTGTGCAAATTCGTACGGTTGGTCTTTTGGGAGAAGAATGTTATTTCTGTGTTCATGGATCCAACGCTCCAGAAGTATATTCTTCTCCGGTTGGCTCAAATGGATAATAAGTGATTCTAAGAATCGGGACCATGTAATAGTATTACCGGTTTGATGCTTTTTACTCTTCTTTTATTATAATAAATATCTAACGATGATATCAACTACAACTGAGCAGTACAAATAATGTTACTAACCGTCTTAAGAGATGGAAGTTGAAAATCGCGGTCTTTTTCATATCTGACATCCTATGATTAGTATCACTATTGTAGTTATGACTCAAATCCATAAGTAATCGAATGCTTTGATACCGCAAATAGATTTCGAAATAATCTTCTACATCAACAGTTTTGACCTTAGTTAACTCTTCCATATAGTCTGTATCCGTTTACATAAATATGTAGGAATCAATAAGGAACTCCATAAGTCATCTGTTATGTACTCAAAGATAGAAGTAAAATGCTTTCAGTAAAATTAACTAAATTTCTTTATTAAGATCTAGCACACTTGTAATGGTTCAACAGTCTATGATAAATCAATTATTATATCATATCTCAGCTACGTGTGACTATCGTACAGGTACCAAGTGTGTCCAACATATTAGTTGCTTTTGTGCTGCTTATTATGCGAAATACATGAACTGGTGTGTAAGAAGTCCGGGATTCTTTCAATCTCTGACTGTCACAATCATGTCCTCAACCTGACTGGAAGTACATACCCTCAACAAAATTAAAGGCCAACAACAGTTATTTATTTTGATATCCTGAATATCTCTGACTCTTAATTGATGTTCTCTATTACCAAACTGTTTCTTTTACTGAGGAAGTACTCTATTATCCTAAACTCACCAATACGAGCACTTCCAGTGATTTAAAACGGACGAGATGTAGATGTATCAAAGTCCATGCATGCAAACTTAGGTAAAAAAGCTTTCAAATATTGTATCCAGCACATTTATTAGGGAATGAACTAGTTAGTCATATGAGCTGACTTAATCTAAAGTATATTCATGAACTTACTGCTAATTCATAGTTGTATAGGTTCTTATTTTCCTTAAAATATTCCAATTAATTCTAACTAATTTATTTTTTCATTTCGCCTATACACTTATCCATTGTACTGTTTTTATAAAAGAAAAGTAGGAAAAACTTGATGCACCATCGTACTTTAGGAATTTCACAATGCATGAAACATATAATACTGTATAAAACTTTTATTATTATTATTATGCTTTTAAGTTTCAAACCATTATGAGTTAGTCATGTCAGTTCCGTCTTTGTTATTCTTTAATTATATGATTGACAAAATTTTGAGAGGTATTCTAGAAAATGCTTGTTGACTTTCACTCTCAAAACTCACTATACATTACTTCTGTTTGAGTAGCGAAGTAGCCCCACTCACCCTCACCTAAGCTTAACCTAAATTAAATTGAAATCACTTACCCTCGACTACTGGTCACAGACTTTGGAATAGATCGTATAGATACTACTTTAGTAAAATCGTTCACTTTCAAGTATACAGGTTGTTGCCTTTATAACAACATCCTTGCTAGTGACATTGTATTACATAATTCCGTAATCAAAGTTTGTATTTTGTGTGTTATATACCATCTAATTGTAAACATATTTCGTTTATTACAGCGCAAGGCTTCGGCTTTGATCAAAGTCTTTCAGTAACTGCTCAACAACAACAGCAGCAGCAGCAGCAACAACAACAACAGCAACTACAAGTTGCACAACAGAACACAGTCGATGCTTTCTTTGCTTCTTTATCTCAACCCATGCTATTTGGTGATGAACGTGATTCAGTTATAGCACGTTGGAATCAACTACAAGCAATGTGGGGTACTGGTATTGGTTACAGTGCTGTAGGTATGGTGAGTTATACACCGGAGAATACATTTGCACGATTAAAATCTATTGGATATAATGTTTTGCCTACAAGTACTGATGCTGATGGACTTGTTTGTTTATACATTGGCCGTCCATTCTCTGAAGTTACAAATCAACGTCAAGCTGTACAAGATAGTTTATTTAGACTATTAGGTGGTCGTCCTAATTTACAGCTAGTGGTGGAAGAAATTCGTCCATGTGCTGAAGCTGAAGACAGTACTGAGGTCATATTGAAAGTTGTGGAACGATTAGCTACTGGTAAGTTCTTTATTTTGTCTATTGATTGTATCATACTATCAGTATACTGTTATTAGTAAAAATGTATAACGATTTGCACATCTTTTTTGGTGCATTTTGTACCTCTGAATCCTGTTTGCCAGTTAAACAAATTTATTCAGTGCAAATTCACTAGCATAACATAATATAACATTTTTGATAGATATTATAACCCATAATTTTCGGCACAGTGTGTTTTTAGTTGGCATAAAACGGTGGTATCATCTTGGTGAGCTGTTTCACTAATAAACCATAAGTATTAACGATTCTCTACTCACGTAAAAGCATTTTTTTAAACTAAAAATCTCGCCGTTCAGTTGTTTTGGAAAAATACGTTGAAAGGCTGTCAGATTTATGGGGTCACGTGTAGGCTCTCGGTTCAGTTAGAGTAATTATATCCTAGTGCAATATACAGAATATAGTCGTTAATCCTGGAGCATACCAAATAGTGCTTAAGATTTATTAGTGTTGTAAAACTATTATTTAGTATAATGATATAACTGGGTCTTTAGAAATATGATTAGACTACAAGCTATATTCTGTCGTAGATGTGATTCGAGGAGTATAATCCAGCGAGGTGAATTTAAAAAGAAGATGACAAAGGTGATGAGGAATTCGGAAGGTTAGGATTTAAGGGAAGACAAAGCATGGATACACCTGCACCGTTGCAAACGATTTTGAGCCGTGTCATTCAAAGTTCGTGACCATCGGTTACTATTGACTCGTGGACCCAAACCAGGTAGTCTACACCTGCTAACATGGCTCAGTCCACTTTTCAGTGACTTTATGGATTTGTGCCATGTTTTGGTTTGGCCGACCCTAGCTTCCTTCTAGTCTACTCGTACATCACAAAACATCGTTCGTCGAGGCAGTCGGTGGTTAGGCATACGTAACACATGTCTTAACCATCTAAACTGATGAACATTCACTACTTCATTAATTGATCTACCTTCCTTACCTAGTACTCGTTTTCTAACACCAACATTGCCTACTTGGTGGTCCCAGAATATACGGGTATTGTTTCAAAGACACAAATGATCGAATACTCTTAACCTGCGAATGTTTTTAGTGTCTTGAAATTGTGTTTTATCTCTTCCTCTTCAAGGCGCAACATCTACTATATCCGCTAGTGAACTTGCAAAGTATTTATCAAGTCCATCGGTTGCACCTCAACTTCAATCACAATTGTGTGTGAATCGTTTAATTCCGGAAATATCTCCATCTGCTGCACAGATTGTTGCTTATAATGAGAATCCACCAGCTGGTTTTGATAGATTAATATGGCAACAGGTAAATATGTACAGCTGTCCTTTATTGTAAAACCTTTTCATTTTATATCAATGAACTTTTTAAGATGCTTTTATGCATTTCTTAATTTAGTTGCTGCTTTCCAGCCACATTCTAAGTTAGGGGGCTAGTGATGCAATCCAAACTTGATAAAGTAGTGTAGGTTTGAACTGGTGAATTGTTTCCTGAAATCGATAGGAATTGACCTCTGATTCACCGCTCCGAAAAATACATTCATCATTTTATTATCTAATGACTGCATAGTGGTTAAGCAGTGGTCGGTTTTCTTAATCAATTGCGTTACTGAATTCGCAAATAACTACGAAGGCTTGCATTGATAGCAACCAATAACTTATATTTTTATTATTTATCTTTATTTTTATTTATTCTCAGCAGTTCTACTTGTTTCTGTATAGGAGATTCGCGTCATCACTTACGTTTCTATACAGTGTTTTTACCAATTATATATTTACATATGTCTGTTATACAGTCATTAGTAATCTTGTTGTTTTTTTGTCAGGCTTGCCTTGATAATCCACATCCTGATCGTATGATCCCAATTCCTTTTATTGGATTTTCTGACTTAAGAAGACGTAAATGTGATCAACTTGCTTACGGTGAACAACAGAGCAGTATGATCAAGGTATGTATGATATTTTATTTTTTGACTTGGAATTACTATTTCTCGTAAATTCAGTTAGCTTTTTCACCTACGGCTTATTTTTGCCAACAAATAAACATTTCAACTTTCCTTTCTTTGAAGTATGTATGATCATATTAGTGATTACTAGAGGTATATGGATAGCTAACATTTCATGGCTGCAAACAAATAGTTCTTGAGGTACTTGATGTAGGAAATACTTTGCAAGGAAATCTCTTACGGTCCTACTTAATGATAGCAAAATTAAGAATACATTTTAGGAGCAACTAAAAAAATAGTTAGGCAGCGATGTAAGTGATCCCCACCCCGAAGCAGCTTGGGACGACATCCAAAAAGCTGTGGAAACAGCAGTGATATCTGCTAGTAAGGTAAGACCAAAAGACTAAGGAGAAGCAGTGTATTTCAGTAGCATCTACTGAACTGATATATGCTCGGAAAGTCATCCCATCTGGTTCTGAACATGATGAGGGGTGGAGTCAGCTTCGGCGCAGGCTGATAAGAAGCCTACGCAATGATCGCGAACAATGGTGGGTAGCGAAAGCAAGAGTGATGGAAAAAGCAACGGCGATAGATAACAGCAGACAACTATCCTAACTTATCACGGAAATTGGTTCTAGGAATCCATCTGTTAACGAAACTATCTCTGAGAAGGATATTCTTATTATTCATTCTCAACCCAGGAGATTAGATCGATGGGCAGAGTACTTTAGGGAGTCTTCTGAACACCTTAAGCAACAATGCATGTTCAAGATACGGTATTCCCTACTGGAAATGCAGAATGTTGCTTCAGGATTGGCTTGCGTCGGTACCTTAACTGGTGATAGGTAGTGAAGTTGTTTCGCGCGTTGACCACTTCACTTATCTGTGTAGTCTCATCAGTGCTGAGGGCCTGGTGACTGACTACATCTCAGCACGGACACAGAAGGCTCGATTGGCTTTTGTCAACATGCGTCACTTTAGGCGTAGGCGCGATATCCGTTTAATAACGAAAGGACAAGTGTTAGCAGGCGTAGATTACCTGGTTGGGGTCCATGAGACAGTTATGACCAATGGTCATGGACTTTGAATGATATGGCTCAAAATCGTTTGCAATGGCGCAGGTGAATATATTCTTTATCTTCTCTCGCATTCTAATCGTCTGAGTTACTTAATGCCTCCTTTTGTAATTTTATATCACTAGACTATACTTCTTGAATCATATCTTCGACAACTAATCTCCATTAATGTTAATACTTCTACTACTTCTAACACTATAGAAATTGCATTGACAAATACACCTCTCTGTGCTAATGTGGTATGTTAACTTGAACTGATGTACGTACGTACGATGTTCTACGTTGTATCTGACTGACTGACTTATTGAGATAATTGTTTTATTTGAGACCTTTTGAGAAATTACTTTCTACTTACATCTGCTTTTAAATCTCGTATCCAACCTGCGTCACTTATGGCGAAGGCGAAATATCCCTTTTTTGACCAAAGGACGCGTGTACTGCGCAGTTGTTCGCTCTGACCTGCTTTATGGCTGTGAAACATAGCCGGTCAGAGTAGAAGATATTCCTAGGTTACTAGTTTTCGATCATCGGTGTCTTCGAAACATTCCTTGAGTATCGTGGGACAGCCGAGTAATCAATGCTGTTGTTAGGAAACGGGTGCTAGGTAAGGATGGCAGGTCAATAGATGAAGTAATGAAACTTCATCAGTTGAGGTGGTTGGGACATATGTTGCGTATGCCTAACCACCGATTGCCTGATCGAGCTATATTTTGCGGTGTAGGAATAGGTTGTACGAAAGCTAGGTGTGGCCAAACCAAAACATGTCAGAAATGCATGAAGTCACTGACAAGTAGACTGAGTCATGTCGGTAGTTGTAGACTACCTTGTTGGGGTCCGCGATATGTTAGTAATCGATGGTTAGAGACCCCGAATGACATGGCTCAAAACGGTTTGGAATGGCACAGGTGCATTTACTCTTTACGTTGTATGAAATTCTAACCTTCTGAATTCCCCATCACTTCTATCTTTCTCTTTCTAAACTTATCTCACTGAATTATACTTCTTGAATAACATCTCCGAACCCTAATCTCTCCGATTACTTTTAATATTTTTACTACCTCTAC